TGCCTCATTGCTTTGAATGCGCACTGTAGTATGGTACAGCGCTTAGATCGGGAATCGACCAAAGCTGACCTGCAGTCAGTATCTGGCAGTGTCTACGAATGAATCAAGACACTCCGCAATGAACAAAGCTGTGGCCAATATCATTCATGCCCGCTCCGGTTTGTCCACCAGTATGTAACGGGACGGCAAAGCTACTAGGATAATCGCTGAAGAGACGTCAGTATCTCCTGGGCATATACTGTATTATTTTTCTTGCTCTAGGTATCATCAAAACCTACGCTCCGTTTCGATGGTTACGTACTATTGGAGGCAGGATATTCTGAAAGATTGTGATTTGGTCGAACTCGACATGTCCTTTGTCCATCTTAACATTGTGCTTTTTTGGGTTTTGCCCAACTTTCTTCTGATTCATTGGTCAATTTGCACATGATTCCTGCATACTTGATTCTTCTTTTTGGGGGTTCAAGCTTCCACCATATATCTTGCATGTTTATAGCTACACTCAGCCCCACTATATCTTCTTTTCTTTTTTTCTCCCCCTTCTTTTTTCGATGCATTGGTTTTGACTTGGTGGCGGTGAGAACCACCAGATCTCAATTGGCGTAAGGAAGCCACGTCATGCATTCGCTGCATGGTCTCGACTGAGCTCGATCTTCGTCGCTAGATTAATAATAGGCGAAAGATGATTGTGCTGCGTACTTATCATGTGCTGCAACAGCTAATAGACCCACCTTTCAGCTCACCAAACACTAGATCTGCGTCATTCAATGAATCACATATTCGCGACATCACACTTCCAATCGGATCAGATATTGCAGTGCTCAAACTTCGCATGTTGGGATCTCGTACAATATTCCTACTCCGCCAAAGATGTGGGCTACCTGCTCATTTCATGGGATGCTTTTATGTTCTCCATGAAATCAAAGCTCTTTATCAGCTTTATTAACAATGTGAAGTATCGAACAATACCAGGGAGGTGTGATAATCTATGGATTTATCTCATGAATACGTCATTGTGTTCTCTTTCACACGCAGCCTGGGTGGAGGGGCAATATCAATTGGCAGTGAGACTTTCGATTTGCATTGCATGGTTGTACACCATCGCCGAAGAGAGCCACCTGCATTGCAGAATATGTTTAGACTATTTAAATGGATACCAAAGAGTAATGCGCCTACAGAGGTTGTTACGTGGACCCTGTAGACAGACATCACTATGGATGCCTAACCAAAGGGTGCTCTTACCTCTAGACTTTGCCCGATTTCCACGCATTAGCGGCTGTGTGGTGCTGGTGGAATTATATAAAGAATCAATCCCTTCCCCCACTAGAAACCCTTTTTTGGAAGAACTTCAAAGGAAAGTAATTGCTCAAGTCGTTTAAATGGCACCTCCTAACAAGAAAAACATCCAGGGAGACATCTGGTGAGCTGATACCCTACTCGACGTTCCAGTGAAGAACTTCATTCTAACAGAATCAGGCCCCGTCTGCCGAAGAAGCATGAGCTTTTTGTCTTCTTCCGTATCACTAACCCACAGCGTTTCAAGACACACCTGGCTGGCCTTGTTCCCTTGATCACGACTGCCCGTGATGCTGAGAGGTTCAGATCTGACATCTACAAGAAAAAGGCTGAAGGTACCCTCCAAGGACTTGTTCAACTCTCCGCCATCAATGTTGCTTTCTCTGCCAGGGGTCTAGCAAAAGTAAGTCATGGAACTAACCTGCGGTCATATGAGCCATGCTAAAATATGCCAGCTTGGGGCCGAGACATTCTCCGATGATATATTTAACAACGGCATGTGGGAGGATTTGACATACCCCATGGAGGGAGATGACAAGACAAAGCACAACGGTCTCGATGACCAGCATGATTGGTACCATCAGTTCACCCCACGTGGTGGACACATCGATGGCGTCTTCATTATCGCCGGTGATAGTGAAGCGACTTTGACTGAGACTTTTGATATGACCAAGAAAACTTTTGGAATTGGTCTTGAGGGCGAGCCACAAAATGGTCTTCCTATGCTCGACAAGCCAAGTATTCAACTCATCTTCCAGCAGCAAGGGCATGTCCTGGATGACGACAGAGAACAGTAAGACATTTGAGCTTTAACACATAGCTGATTCCTAGCTAATGTCTACGATTTAGCTTTGGATGGGTTGATGGGATCTCTCAGCCCGCTGTCATTGGTCTGGATACCGATAAAAAGGTCGAAGAAGCCCGAAATGGCTTAAAGCCAATCCAGGCTGGGTATGTTACTGGCCCTCTACACTAGATCTGGAATATAGTAGCTGACACCCTTGCTAGTACTATTCTTGTTGGAGGCGAAGGCGATGAAGGGAACCACCCAGCCTGGGCCAACGAGGGAAGCTTCATGGTATTCCGCACATATGAACAAAGAACACCCGAGTTCGTCGCGTAAGTGTCTCTGTTTGGTTCTGCTTTGCTGCAATATCATTAATAACCCTGTCAGATGGTGTGGGCGCAACACCAAGAGAATGGCTACTGAGGGCATGTCTGCACTAGCTTCGGCAGAGCTTCGCAAATTCTCTTCCCGTGTGGTTGGGCGATGGCCCAATGGTAAGATTTTCTTTCTGACCTATATTAATTTACTTGCAACATTTACTCACACAATATCTATAGGAGCTCCGCTTGAACTTTACCCAGACGAAGATCCCACACCTATGCGGATTGCCGATCCAATCGCGAACAAGCAGATGTTGTTCAAAGAGTGGAGAGAGCAGGGCTTAGACCCCGAAGTTGAGTATAAGAAGCTGGAAGAGAAAAACCACACGGACGCCTTCACTTACAACCCTGAGGACCAAACTAAATGTCCTTACGCCGCCCATATCCGGAAGTGTGGGCCTCGAGATGACTTCCCGAATTATGAGAAGCATCTGATGTTGCGACGGGGAATTCCCTACGGGCCCTTGACACTAAACAATGAGAAGGGCGGCGGTGTCTCACAACACGACCGTGGCCTCCTGTTCGTTTCTTACCAAAGCAGCATTACCAATGGATTCCGATTTGTCCAGAAAGGTATGTACTTTAGTCACATTGCAAACAATGTTGATAATTAACAAATCTACAGTCTGGGCGAACGAAGAGGCCAAACCCGTTGATTTCACCTCCAAGCTGGGAAATGCTGGACCCCAGGGTATCGACGCCATCATCGGACAATTGCCTCCCGATTACCGCCAGGAGGAGGATGTTACAAAATACGAAGACCCAGCTCCTGTTGTAAACCTTCCCGATGTTCAGAAGCCTGTGCCTCCCTGCAACAAGCACTTTATTCCCATCGAGCGCTGGGTTATCCCTCGGGGTGGTGAGTACTTCTTCGCTCCTTCCATTTCCGGGATGAAGGACACCCTTTGCAAGTAAGCAGTGAGCTTATGGCGTCACACATTTATCAACTGATGGTTCTATGCTTTGGCTTGTTTCGTCTTTATCTTTTGTTGGTAGATAGTTTGGGGCCTTGAGCCTTTCCAGGTAGTAGCAAACATGGATTACGTCTTCGACTCTCCAATCCCAATGCTTAGACGCGAAACATACTAGGATCCATCATTTTTGACTTGAGGTTTTTGTCAGCTGCGGCTGGCTATATATGACTTATGTTATATATCAATTTCGGCCATATATTTTTCTGCGAATCTAATACACTCGACTTGACCTGAAGTTCTTGAAACACACAAAAATATTGATCAAGGGGCCATTAGTAGACTTCCGCAAAGCCCACAAATGGGCCCGGACCTCTATCACACACAATCGTAGCTAATAAAATGAAAAGCTTCATTGTGTGAACCTTGTACGGCAATATTACTACTACGATTACTACTCTACTTAACAGAATAAGCCGGCTACTTTCACAGATGGCGACGAACTCCTTCGTCTTCACGTTAGTACGAGCGCACAATTTAGGTATTGTTTTATTTATCAGAAATACTAACAAATTTAAGATCATTATATCGACATCCTTCGGCAATCCATACAATGTCAAGGTGACTTTGGAATTGTTACGAGGAGCTGGCTCAAAGGTCGGGGGTTTAGCTTTCCTGATTTCAGTGTATGGCACAAATGCCGAAAGATAGAACTCATCTTGAAATACTCTGATACACATGAAATCAACAGCGAGCCATCTAAGCCGTTTGATGTAGTGGAGTTGATGTCACCGCCCTATACAAATGCAACGGTTAGTGAAATATGCCCTTGAAACTGATATTATTGTGGAAAGAATATTATCTTCGTGGTTTATCCTACAGTTATAGGCTCATGAATTATTAGATATGTCGTTTCTTGGAAAATAGTGCAAGACAGATAACCAAGAGGGTCAAGTTGATTCTCAGCAGAATAGAGACGACACACGAGATAATGCTCTCAGGATCACAACGTGTTGTAATTCAGAGGAATGATTGATAGTTCTGTTATTTCTGAGGGAGCATAAGAGAGTATATACAACGTGTCATCCTAGTTGATTTCCAACAATACTAATGGAGCTTTCTACTTTAAGTTAGTCTAAAGACAATTGTCTGAATCTATCAATTGAAAAACTAAATGGCTTTTGTGGGTTAGATACTCGACTTCAATTGTTCATGCCATAAAAAGAGAGCCATTCAGCAATGATAGAGAATTTCCTATATAATTTCTATATTTGTATAATCCTTGCTTCGGATTCTACTAACAAATGTCGAGTTCAACGGCATATAAGGGGAGGTTTTACATTGTTCAAGTCACTTTTAGAACCTACATGGTTTACCAGGTTCTTCAAATTCGCCAAGAATCCGAGATCATTATCACACGAGGAGATAATCGTACAATATTTGTTGTTCCAACTGCAAAAGTTCTAGTTGTGGGATTGAAGAAACAACATGCATAATGGCGCCAGGTATGTTTTAAAAATGTGTTAATCTGACCAGAATACTTAGCCACTTCTATTGCATGCTTTGATTACACCATATGTTATAACAGATCTTTGTATGTTTTCGATGGCGCATTTGACTGCCAGTCTATTCTGCATCAGAGTCAAAGTCAGGCTCAATAACGGGGAATGTTAAAAGCGCAGCGATGCCACCCAACCCCTCGAGACGCTTTCCACTTTCATGGTCAGAGCTGAGAATCCGCACCTCACCACCCTCAACATCGCGGACGCGGTCCACAAGACCCACCCAGCGTTTACGCTCAGCGACATCCTGTGATCGAAACAAGCGATTCGAAACAATAAGTACGCCGCCACCTCGGCCGACAGCACCTTGTTCAACCGCGTACTCAACCTCGCGGGGACCATATGTTGCTTTGTTGGTCTCCTTGCGCAGTTGTTCTTGGAAGTGGTCCATCAATTTGGTCTCACGGGCATACTTAGTATCAGCCAGGATGGTCTTAACCGCGGGCGACTGCAGAACCTCTGATAGTGAATTTGTGTATCCCGATGCGGAGTGCACAACCACGAGACTGGGAAGAAGTCGCTTGAGTCCGGGAGTCGTTGTTGATGCCTCGGATTGGATGTATTTCTGGAAGCCAGCGGCGACAAACCCGGGTGAGGCGAGAAGCACGGGCCGTACGGCTTCGTTGTTGGCGCCTGAAGTAAGACTGGTATTGAACTCCATTTGTCGAAGGAGCGTATCGAGTGTAACTTTGAAAAACTTGTTCATTCCCTGGTAAGTAGCGTAAGTTTTGAGCCCCGTCAAAAGACACAGTGAAACAACATATACTCACTTTATCATGATCCCCTCCTCCCTGCCGTTTCCGCGGCACGGACATCTCGATCTTTTGCTTCAATATTGTCTGGAATTGGCCAATAAAGCAGATATGAGCCAGTCCTTCTTGCATCACTACCGCGACAGCCTCTGCACGGCGTTTACCACCCTCATCGACAGCGTCTCTGAGTGACTCAATTGCAATACTGTCCCACCCGACACCTTCTCCATCTGCCCCAACCTCTTTCTCTAACGTGAAATTGCGATTCAGCTCTAGATCGAGGGTATGGAACTGTCCAATTTTCGTGTGTGGTGTTTCGTTGGTAATTTGTCCTGATACATGGAGCTGAGAGCTCTGCGGATCAAAGTCGAGATTCTTCACGCGAATTAGGAGGTTCAGATGAACCCGCGCGGAGCTCGTGGACCCGGTATCCTGAACTGTGGTAACTCGACGAATTGCGCTGGCTCGGAGGAGATCGCCTGGTCGGATCAGGTTGTATGCGTGCCACTAGATTCGTCGAATCGTATATTAGATGACTGCGGGGGGGGGCTGAAACGGAAAGTGAGGGCTTCAATACCATGTCTTCTGGCTCGACAGGACATAATGTCACCGCCCCAGAGCCATCATGCTCAATTTTGTTCTTAATGCAGCGCATTCCTGCGGTGATATTGTACGTTTATAGACCGAGGGGTTGGAAAGGTAAAATGCGACGAGGGCGGGTTGGATCTTGTTATTGCGATGTCGTCATATGTTGACACAAAAATGCGCAAATTGGAGGGATAAAGGGGTCTGTAGAAACAGATCAAACCCTGCAGAGCTTTGGAATGCTCCTGTAAAAAAGGATATTCAAGAAAACCAACCTAATATGAGAGCATATTGACAGTGTTGAACTTGCCAAACTCAACCCCACCACAGAATCTGCCGTTTATTACCGCCTGCCGTCCTGTAAGAATAGCACTTGCTCTACTGATGCAGTTATTCTAGAAGATTGATTTTAGTTTTCGATGGGTTGATAGAAAATATGAAATTGATGAATACTCTAAGCTTCCAAAACAGATATCAAGTATGAATATCACCCTGCGCTCCACTTGAGCAGTGCCATATAACCTATCGATAAGACCAAGCCCTAATCAGATCAGATTGGGGCAATGGACTCGGGATGATTTCCAAGGTTATTGGAAAGTCGAATCCGATCTGGCAGTTCGCTAGTCCGGCAAGTTACTCATATGGGCCCCACGTCGTGTTGATCAGCCATTGATATGCTGCATCTAGTCCCCGATACCGTATATCCCCACTTAGATGGCGTCAAGCTCTAAGAAGCGGAAATGACTGGACCGAGGTGGTCCGTGGATGTCGAAACCTTTATCTATTAAAGTAGCACCCCCCGCCTTCTTCTACCTTTCAACCACCAAAACATTCATCATGGCCTCCCTTTCGCTGCAGTCTACCTATAAATTGGTCTCGGGCTATGAGATCCCCGTCGTTGGATTCGGAGTGAGTATATTGGCCCTTGGAGTTGTGACATGACTGACACTTATCCTGGGAATTAGGTTTACCAAACGTATGACCATATAAAAACCCCGCCACAGATTATATTAACTCATTCTTGAACAGTCCCTCCGATGTCACCGAGAAAGTGACCCGCAAGGCCATTGAGCTGGGATACCGTCATGTAAGCAGCTACACAACCCGGGCAGCGAGAGTACCCAGATTTGACCATCTTGTTACAGGTCGACAGCGCCAAAGTGTACGGAAATGAACTGGAAAGTGCCGCTGCCATCCGCGGGTCTGGCGTTGATCGCTCTAAGATCTTCTATACGAGCAAGGTGCCGTCGAAATGCATGGGATATGAGAAGGCAAAGAAGGCCATCGAGGAAAGCATCGCTGCGGCAAACCTTGGCTACATTGACCTGTAGGGACCTCCTTGTTCCCTGGAAACCAAAGCAGATTAGCGAACTAACACTGCGGCCATCAGTATGTTGATTCACGCACCCTATGGCGGTAAGGAGGAACGCCTGGGCACATGGCGCGCACTCGTGGAGGCCCAAAAGGCAGGCCACGTCCGCTCGTTAGGTGTGTCCAACTTTGCTATCCAGCACCTCGAGGAGCTGGAGGAGTACATCAAGAGCGGAGCGGGTGGACAAATCACTGTCGGCCAGTACGAAATCCACCCGTGGTGCCCGCGCGACGATATTGCGGAGTGGCTGCAGAAGCGCAACATCGTTGTTGAAGCATACTCTCCCCTCGTGCAAGCGACTCGCATGAAGGAGCCGGTTCTGCAGAATCTGGCTAAGAAGCACGGTAAGACCGAAGCTCAGATTTTGATCCGCTGGAGTTTGCAGAAGGTATGTGTACATGACTCTCTTTGTGTGCCCGACAGTGGATAATTAACCTCGTTTTTATTAGGGATACGTGCCCCTGCCCAAGTCTGTGACCGAGTCTCGCATTCTAGAGAACTCGCAGGTCTTTGACTTCACACTGTCGGATGAGGACATGGCCAGCCTGAAGCTTAACGCGTACGAGCCCGTGTGCTGGGATCCCGTCCGTGACTGCAAGATCTAAATGACGTCATTAAATTAGTAAAAGCCTAGCGTTTGAATTGAATTAAAGAATCAAATTCCAAGCATCCAAATATACACCGAATAGAGACCAATAACCTTAGAATAGACCCTTGAAAGAGTTCAGCCCAATTTGGTAATTTGTTGACCTTTCGCGGTCGGCACAACGTATCACCGCCAACCAAAAAACAACATCGACACTTCCAACATTTTCTGGTACAACTCGCTACAGCTCTCCATCCCCATGATCGTACAAGCAGCAGGCAGTCGCTGCCATCGTTGCCCCCACTATGCCGGATGAGCCGCCGCGTCGCATCATCTTGGAGAAATCCAAGACCGTTAAACGCCGGTACCAGCGCAGCAACCAACGATTCCAGTTCACCGCATCCCAGATCGCGCGACTAGATCGCGAGGAGGAGCGAGAAAACAGAGCGAAGAATTTACGCGAGAAGGAAAAGAAACGCATCGCCAACAAGAAACGGAAAGCCGAGCAAGAGGCGCAAGCCCGTGAGGAGCGGAAGCGTCGTGGCATCCCGGATCCCCATGCAGCCCGCGTCCCGTCGAGTCAGCCGCTGCTGTCAATGTTCCTAGGAGCAGGGAAGCTACAGTCACCCGCTGCACCGGAACCTGCGCCTACAGTTACAGAGATCGAATCGCATGATAATAATTCGGGGAGCGTGGGTGGAGATACGGAAGCTGATACGGAAGCTGATTCGGATGCCTTTGACGACTTGGATGAGGTATTGAAAAATGACCTATCTGAGCTTCAAGATGGAGGCGTCCCGAAAGAGCTTGAAGGTCAAGATATCGATACCGCTACTCGGGCTTCATTCAAGGATGAGGATGAGTTCTCGGACTGTTCGGCGTTCGAGGACGAAGAGGTTATGAAAAAAGCCGAAATGGCTGCTACCACGCGAGCGACTGACGAAGAAACGAAGAACCCCTCTATACCCAAGGAATCATCCTACCTACGACCTCCCCCGGCTGTTCTCACGCTAGGATCCTCTTTCGGGGAGTCTTTCCAGTACGACCCCGCCGATTTCCTTGAAGCCGAAGCGGCTATCATCAAACAAACGAGTAGTCATGCAACGGGGGACGAGTCTCCACCCAAAGAAATCTCCCTTTTACAATATCCTGTGTCTGATCGACCGTGCAGTAGACCCACATTGGCGTCTTCTTTTGGAGATTCCTTTCGAGACGAGACTGCGGAATGGATTGAAGAAGCATTTGCACACGGAAGCGGCGACCCTTTTGATGAACTTGATAACAAGCTCTCTTAATGATTTCATCTGAATTTGATAAATCGCCCCGGCAGTAATTTGTCGCAGATCTTGCTTCGGAGTACGATATACATCGTACATTGTCCAGCTTGAAGTCTTGGCGTTCGATCGGGTCCGGACCGACAGTCGGATATCCCCAGTTCGGATGCACAAAGGCCTTTCGGTTCGGGAGGACTCAAATATTTTTTGGAGTAGAAGCTAAGAGATAAATTATTCCGACGGAATGACCAGAAATGGTCAGGAGGATTGTGTACATTATTAATATTATTGTAGTATGTTATCGGGAATGACGTTACACTTATCATTTGTATAGATCTCCAGGGCTGCCCGCTTCTCTATTCTCTATTCCTCACTACTCTTATTTCTTATACTTTGTCGGCTTGAATCCATTAACCCCCAACAATGCCGTTCGTCCAAGCAAACAGTCACCGTCTCTACTATGCTGACTCCCACCCCGCTGGCCCTCCGACCCCAACCGGCCTGACCTTCATCTTCATCCACGGCCTGGGCTCTTCACAAAACTACTACTATCCAGTAATCCCGCACCTCACAAAACTCCACCGCTGCATTACAATTGATACATACGGCGCCGCCCGCTCCCCGTACACCAATGACACAATCACGATCCCCGGTATCGCAGAGGATGTCATCGGTGTGCTAGACACGCTGCGAGTCCACAAGGCCGTCGTAGTTGGCCATTCAATGGGCGGGCTCGTGGTGACAGAGCTGGGTGCGCGGCATCCCAGTCGCATACAGGGCGTTGTGGCTATTGGGCCGACGCACCCGTCGGATACCTTGGTGACGGTCATGAATAAGAGATCGGAGGCTGTCCTTGAGTGTAAGTTTTTTTCCCCATTCGACTCCACCTGTTTCTGTGTTTCTATTTTATTGTGTCTTGAAATTTCCATACAAATGTGCTAAATTGTTTGCAGCTGGAATCGAGCCAATGGCAAATACAATCCCCTTTGGAGCTGTCGGCTCGCGCAGTTCCCCGCTTCAAAAGGCTTTCATCCGGGAGTTAATTCTGGGCCAGGATCCTAAGGGCTATGCCGCGCTGTGCCGCGCTATTGCGACCGCGAAGCCGGCAGACTATGCTGCTGTCAAGGCGCCTTTCCTGCTTATTGCGGGCGAGGAGGATAAGTCTGCTTCTATGGAGGGGTGCCAGCATATTTTTGATCATGTCTCGAGTAAACAGAAGTCTCTCGAGGTATTGAAGGGGGTTGGGCATTGGCATTGTATTGAGGCTGCTGATGAGGTGGGTGGGTTAATTGCTAAGTTCGCGAATGTTGCGAATGCTTGAAAGAGCCTCTATTTAGAATGGAATGACGAATATGCCAGTAAATATGTTTTATGCTTAATATGTACAATGTCGCTATCGTCAAATACGTCAAAGGATAAATCACAAAAATGCTACTTTAGTGCCGCAGCTAGCTCATGCGCCATCGGTACCGGTCTCGAACTTCACCAACTTGACATCGTAATTGAGCTCAATGGCAGCCTGGGGATCATTCTCGCGCGGCACGAAGTCCACAACAAGTGAATCCTTGACAGCAAACACCGAGTCATTGTCAAGGTATTTATCCTTGCGGTCGAAGATCTGCGTTGTCAAAGGGCGGTAGTCATCATAGGTAGCCTGGGCAAGATATCAGCTTCTGTCTCAACCCGATATCGAAAATTCCACGTTAAAACTTACAATAATGTGAATGTGAGCAGGGCGGAAAGGATGACGATCCATCAGCTCAAGAAGCTTGCCAGCAGGACCATCGTTAGGAACGGGGTACGGCGTCGGACGCAGGCAGTAAAACGAGTACTTGCCCTCCTCATCCGTCTTGAACTTGCCGCGCAGGTTGAACTCAACCTGCTCGGGATCCTGCTGCTCATACAACCCGTTCGTGGAAGCCTGCCACACCTCGACCGTCGCACCGACAAGAGGTTGCTTGGTCTGGAAATCCATGACGCGACCGTGCATGAAGGTCATCTCAGCATCAGCAGGTTTCGTCTTGACGATGTCCTCGCCGTTCTCACGATACGGAGTATCGGCGCGGAAGAACGGGCCCAGGATGGCCGTGGCTGTGGGCGCATCCTGCGCTTCTTCAGCGAGAGTGAAGGTGATTTCGTCGACGAGGCTGTTGTGCATCAAACATACGTTAGCTGCTGAATTCCACTCCCCCGCGAACAAGAGTTCGGCTTACGATTCCAACCCCAGTACATCGCACACCAGTTGACCCTCGTTCCGCTTATCGTCGCTCATCCGTCCCGCCCAATTGAGCATCTGCACGCCGGCCATCCACTCGTCGACAGTGAGCTCCTCCTCGCGCGCATAGTCATGCATGTGTCTGATTAGACCAGCCATAAGCTTCCGCATGCGCGGGGTGGTCTTAGGACCCATCGCGTTGATGACATTGTCCGTGAAGGTGGGATTGAAGCGGTGCGTCGCCATTGCACGTAAATCAGCTTATTGCGGTGTGATACGAATGCGAGTCAAAAATACAAAAAGGAGAGGACGTTTTAAAAGAAGAGGATGCGATTATTGAAAATCTTCGAGACTGTTATATACGATCCGACGGGAGCAGTGATCCAAATCCCCAAAATATGACGCTTATTCAAGGCTGACCCCGCAAATCCATACCAATGGCATTTGTATTTGGCGTCGGATGTGCAGAAGCAGAGTGACAAGTCGGTTGGGAAGTTCGGATGTTGCGCTTCCGACTTCCCCGCAGTCGGATAGGGCATTGTTTAGGTCTGAATTCGGATATATGGGGAAATGCCTGTGAATCTCATACATTTCCACTTTATATGAGTTAAGAGTGTTACCTCAAGGTCAAGCTTAAAAACTCTTAACACCTTATGTATAAGCTACATTTTATATGACTTTAGTCGTCGGGATTAGTGCTATAGTAAGATAGCACGCTGGATATAGTCTAGGGCCCTTTAGCTCGGTAGGACTGTATCACCTCAGCCCTATAACTAGCCCTTCAGCGGGCTGGAGGCTTCGGGGTTACCTGGGGTTAAGTCCGAAGTGGGGGCAAGGATGGAAATGATTCCATACTGAATATGTAGATCATTGGAAGGAGAATTGTATTTCCCGTCTGTGTCGGACTGAACAGAAAGCCCGGCTGGATATAACAATCCCTATAGTTGGAGTGTTATATCTCCATCCATCAATCCAACCCCTCATCGCCGGGCCTTGGGATTCCCTTTCTTCGTGAGATTATCCGGAAGTTCCTGCAGAACCTCCCCGTTCTCCCAGAGCTTACCTAGTCCAGCCTTGCGCTCGACTACCACATCGAAAAAATCCAGCGAGACGAACTTCTGCTCCTCGCCCTTCTCAGCCTGCCCACTCTTCGCAACGGGTATGCCCTCACTAAGAATGACCCCGTTCTCACTACGCCAGAACGGTACCCCTGCTTCCAGCGCTTTGCGCACATCAATATAAATCAAAACCTGCGCATCGCGACGCATGCCCGAGATGACACCGGGATCGTTGGGCTTGGATTTACCCTGTGCGGCATCATCAGTGGGAACAGCAAGCACCGATTCTAATGATGGGCCAGTAGCAAAGTGGATGTGGTTCCGTCCCATACAGCGTAGTCCACCGGATTGTAGAATCGCAGGCCAAGTCGCGTGGAACGTCCCGTGGACGACGGTATCGGGTAGTTTCGATTCATCGGACAGAGAAAGCGGCTCGAGGAAGGAGGCAGCATCGACAGTCTTGATGCTGTGGCCTTGTGTCGCACGAATTAAAAAGTTCGCCGGGTCGGTGTCTTTCACGGATAATGCTTGGTCGGTGGCTGTTTGTTGAGCTTCGCTCGTGGCGGGTCCGGACTCCAGGACCGATGACGCGGGCTGGTCTTCACCCACGATGGTGCTGCCGTCGTGCTCTGCATTGGGGGATGCCACTGGTGTTGTTGTTGCTTGGGTTGTGGATTTGGTGGGTTGTGCGGATGGAATATGAAGGAGGGCGAAGCGCTTTTTATCGGACGAGTCGACGGCGTGTAGAATCTCGGGGAAGGTGACTTTGAGGGATTTGAGTTTCCTCCAATTTAACTAGGCATAGTCAGTATGGCGCAGGCTATTGAGAACAATACGGCTGCATACCACGTCTGGCACGCTCGCATAACCCTGCGCGTTCATCTTCAGCCCTTCCTTCTCCGCGGCATGTCGCAGAAGCAAGCTTAATGCTTTGGAGACTTGGACATCACGGCTTTGGCCTTGGCCATGTCCACGTTCCCGTTTATCCTTGTTGTCTTTCGGGGGAGCCATATTAACGTATTGAGCTTGAGCAAAAATGTGGGAGTTGTGGAAATAATATTTTGGTGGGGCAATTATAAGCTTAGAGTTGATGCGGCTCTACAACATACAAAATGACTCAAAGCTAGTACATCCGTTGAGAAACAAAAGCAAATATAGGATACTACGCAAATGTCAAAGGAATCAAATTCTTTTTAATCATTATTCTCACATAAATCGACTCATTGGGTATAGAATATCGCAGAAAGACAGGCTATGGATCTAGCCCATGGCTCAGAAGGGACAATGCAAAACAAGACCATTACCGATCACAGATGCAGTTACACTCTGCTACAGGACAGATCTTATGCCGTTTAAACCAGTCGCTGGCATGATTTGCATGGAATCCATGGTTGCAATGGATACAAAATACCACGAATCGCCGCATCACCTCAGTCTCAGTGGGCTTGCGAGAACCTGTCTCGGCATCGGCAGCCATACTGGCGCGTGACATCGGGTCTGGTGAACCCAACCACAGGGTGCAGACGCCGCAGCGCGGCATATGTCGACCACAACGCGGACACAAAGTCCCAGACATGATTGGGGCTGCCAGTGGGTTCCCGGTGGTGGGATGAACAGTCTCAGCACTCTTAGTAGATGGGGAGAGCTGAGAGGAAGCATCGTGCTGAGTGAGCGGGTTCGTGCAGTAGTTACAGGTGAGGCTGACTTGCTGCGGTGGTGGCGGCACGAGTTTGCGACCATCCGCAGTCACAGCGAAACGACGAGAGCTAACGTCGAATCTGGCTCGCTCAAGTTGGAGTTTCCATGAGTTCATTTGCCGCCGGTAGGTCTCCCGCCAGGCCTCAAACTGGACAATGTGTGTTTGGTTGTTAATAAACCGTGGCACGGTATGGCTCATTGCTAGCACAGGTGTTTGGACATCATTGAATTTCCCAATATACGATTGGAACAGACCCATGGCCAAATGACCCAAGCCTGTGAGCACGACTCCTTCAATATTGCCTTGACGAATTGCTTGGCTTGTGGCATCCTTCAGATACTCAGTTAGTTCGTCATCTGGGAGCCAGCGTAGCGCGACCTCTACGCGATATTTAAGAGGTAGTGTGGTTTCCTTGATGACTGCATTCCAGTCGCCTTTGCTCACAAGGGCCAAGATCGCCCGAGCGTATGGATCGGTGAGCTCATTTGCGATTTCCGCACATGTTTCCTCCCAGTCTGTGTCATTATCGCCCTTGGAGGCACCGGCGATCGCCATAGCCAGTAATTTATGAGCTTGGGTGGGGTTGTTGCTTCGAAGCCCAAGGTAAGCCAGCTTAGGCTCATCTTGGAAGACAGCCAGTGCAGCAGCTTTAGTATGCTGGTCTTCACCAGATAAAGTTTTCACTGACTCCTCCAGCTCACGGTATGATTGCGCTGCACCACATAGACGAAGACAGAGTCGGCGATGATCGGGGTAAGCCGTATCGCAACCTTTTATCTCGGGGAGGTCCAACTGAATTGCCAAAGTTGCCACTGCATCCGTAATTGATTTAGCATCAGCCCTCTTAGCGCTGATACAACGTTGTTCAAACCCATTGCCTGTTCTTAGTCAGTGTTGAAAAATATTTGAAACCCAAGTGAAGAAACAAACCTAGGTCATTATTCCAAACATTGCTCACGCCTAGATAATTCATGTCCAAGCCATTGACAACCATTGACGGCCCAGAAGACTCAGTTCGAGCTCCTAGAAAATTTATTAGCCATGTGTTTGCGACACCAAGGAAGATGAAAAACTCACGTTCAGTCCAGCTCCAGAAATCCTGTAAAGCTTGATCATCAGAGGCCACCTTTCGGTTTCGAACCTCATCAAACAAATACCCCTCTTTGCACCGGGATTGGTTGATTGTAAATAGGGTGAGCGCTTCTTTAGCAGTAAGAGGAACACCCATTGCCCCAAGAGCCATGGCGCGCTCCCGGTTCTCATGGCTGGGGACAGGCTCGCAATCAGGATTCTTTGACACGAACAGCTGACCATTTGAGTTTGCCACATGCTCTTGCGAGGTCGAGCAAACGCGTGACCTGATGTTTCCGATTAGATCCGAGATGGGTGCAATATGCTCAGACAGTGGATGAATCGATCGCACATCTGAGTCACTCGACGAGATGCCACAGGCCAACACACTCCGTGAAGATAGATCAATTGGTGCGCACGGGGGTCGCGCGGTGATGATCTGGGGCTGTCCATTGCCGTCTAGCGCGATAGCACTTGGTTGAGGAGACAAGCTGAGATTCAGGGAATCAAATGAAACAATCCGGTCTTTCTCTTTGTAGCCACGAGTCGAATTATCAAAGGGTACGCAAACATCCCGCACGTGCTTGGTGTATACCGATTCTGGGTAATTTCTGGAAGATCCCTGACCAAGTGTCTCGTCTATCGAGGAGCGATACTCCTCCGGCAAGTAGTCCTTGGCAATGTCATAATTCTTGAAATGACCGGTGCTGGACAGCGCAGCGAGACTGCCTCTGTTCGTCCTTGAGAAGCGCAAGCTCCAGATGGACGACTTGGGATGAAAAACATTCTTGAGTTCCAAAGCAGGCGTCGCTTGACCTGACTCTGCGGCGCCGGCAGAAGAGCCCATTGATGGAGATGTCAGTCGAGATCCAACGCGACGGTCCCACACGCAGATGGTGCTTTCATTTGATGGAATGCAAGACGCAATATAGTTTTCATCAAGCCAATCAATAGCCAGGTTATGGACACACCGAGTGGGAAATTGTAAGGACGGATTGCCAGGTCCCTCTTAGATAAAATCAGCTCTGCTTTTGTAGATATGAGGCCAGGAAGGACAAACCTCTTAGATCATAGATCCGAACAAATTGGCCTTTGACACCAGTTACGATCGTATCAGGCTGGTCTCGGAAGAACTTGATACTGGTGATAGGCTCTGAGCTGGCGAGCTTCCGCAACGGCTCAGTAAATCCTTTACTTCCACCAGCAGGACTGAGTCGTTGGTTGACATCCCAAATGTTCAAGCAAAAGTCGTTCCGAACGCGATCGAGGCCCGATGCCACAAGACCGTGTGCACTAAACGCAACTGCATTACAGTACCGTTGGTTGCGAACTGGGAATGAAAGAGACTCCTTGGCATCCCCGTCGAGGCGTAGGATGGTGGCCTCCCCAGACGACTGACCCACGGCAATCAGGTTCTCATTTGAAGTAGACCAGTCGAATGCGCGAAAGCCAGGCACATTGGTTAGGGTGGAGAGAATTTCATGGCGTAGATTCTTGCCGTCAAACCCAGTCACCCTACACAGACGAAATGATTTCCCCGTGACGTCGACTGACAAGAAGCGTTGTTCAGTGGCCGACGAGGTCGGGGACCAGCGAATGGCGGACTCCATGCTGGCCCTTTTACTAAGCTCAATTCAATAATTGAATCACTGGCATGAGTAGACTCAGACTGCCTGATACACAAATTCAAGTGGACAATTGGAGTAAATCAAATCAATGCGATCTGAGAGGGCCGCGGTGATGGTGATCAACGAAGACGCTCATTGGTTGGCGCCAATCTGGGGACGGGCCGATAAATCCGCCGATATCTTTTTTCTTATCGTTTTTGCTGTAGCTTCGACCTTTTTTTCCCTTTCCTTTCCTGTTAGACCAACAATCATGTCTACAGACACTCGAAGCCACCGCGATCGGGAAGCCTCCTCAAAGAGGAAGACCCGGGATGGGTCAGAGGATGTCCCCCCGGCCCGCAAAAAGGTGCACCGCAAGGCAGACAAAGCAGATGAAGGTCAATTCGTGGACTTCGGCAGCAAAGGCGATGCATCAAAGCCTAAAGTGACCCGGAAATACAAGGACAAATTTGCCCCCAAACCTGAAAAGGAATACCCATCGATCAACGATCTCAAAAAGCGAATTCGCGATGTCAAACGACTACTCAACAAAATGGATCTGTCTGCCGATGCTCGCATCTTACAGGAACGTGCTCTCGCTGGATATGAGCAAGATCTTGCCGATGAAACTTTACGCAGAGAACGGTCATCATTGATCAAGAAATACCACTTCGTCCGATTCCTTGGTATGTGGCCCATAAGTCTGAATGGTCCTGGATTCTCGCTAACGTACTTTGTTTTTGAATAGACCGCAAAACTGCTACCAAGGAACTCAACCGACTTACTCGCCGTGAGAAGGAAGAAGATCTGGATTCGAAACAAAAGACTCGTCTTGCAGCAAAAATCCACACCTGCCAGGTGAACCTCAACTATGCGATTTACTATCCTCTCACCGAGAAATACATTTCAATCTACCCCAGCGGAAAACCTGATGCAACGGACCCAAAGTCAGAATTGCAAACGGACGAAACCAAATCCAATGACTCCAAGCCCCCGTTGTGGCCTGTCGTTGAGAAGTGTATGGAAGAAAAGACACTGGACCTTCTTCGTAATGGAAAGTTGCACATCAACGCCAATGGAGAGAAGATCCAAACTTTGTCCTCTGGCACAACTACATCTACAGATATCCAGAAGGAGAAGAGCAAGAAGAAAGAGACCAAGGCTGCTACCCAAAAGGACAAGCATGTTTCCAAAGATGACAAGAATAGCAGCAAGAAGGAGAAGCCTGCACGCAGTGAGCGGGCCTCCAAGAAAGACGAGGCATCAAAACAAGCCAATGCGGATGACCAAGATGATAGCGATGGTGGTTTCTTTGAGTAATCCATTCATAAGTTTGATGCAGATTTGGTTTATGTCTTATTTGTCTTGATATCCACACTAGCATTCTATACATTCTACTGCAATACAGTCAACTGTCACCCAATCTATTCAAAAAGCTCCACCAAATAATGACCGGGTTCTCCGCCTACATCCCTCAATGCCTGTGATGTATATGGACTGATTTGTGGCTTATCTAGGTTGTTGGGTGGAACACAACGAATCGTTCATTATGTATAGGGAAGGCCATTTATTATATATACGAATGATCATTCACTTTCACTTCACTACATAGTATGCACGAATTTACCTCATTGACACTTTCCTCTGCCTATCATTAACTCTATCTTCGAGCCTTTATATTGCTACTTCTGCTCTTCCCTACTATTGGAACCTTCATCGCATTGATCTAGCTCCAGAGTCAATGCTTCAGAGACATAATTTCATATTTACCATCTAAATCTACAACTGCGAACATCGAATCAACACCTACAACCTCTTTGCCGCCCATATATGACTCCACTCCCTTCTCTGTTCTACATCACAGTTATACCTCTTCACACATCCGGCGTCTCTGCATTGTTTCATAACATCTTTATCATATGCATATCTACTTCGCTTTGTACGTCTCTTTTCACAACTTGTTGAACGGGTAAGTTATCTTGCTGAACGGTCAACCACTTTGATACTTCAATCTCCGCTTCATATTTTCTTCATCTCTTGTATCTTACCGAAAACTGCGACTTCATGTTCATTGACTCCTATATCTATGGCCCAGACTTCTTCACACCTCGAACTTCCGCAACAACCCAAACTTACGTCAACCACCTTCTCTTCTCAAGGGAAAAGTGCATTCTTATCCTTATCACCGGCGGTCAGTCATACAGTCATACATCTACTCAATTAAGCCCCCATTGATCAATTGGAGAACTATGAGCCACGCTCTGTCTCAATATCATTTCGATCGACCAGATACACATCTAATCACTTGAGCTCTTAACTAACCGAACGCAGATTCTCAATTCAACTCAACAATCTCTTAACCGAGAACAAGCAAGATGTCTGCAACTAAAGCCAAAGAAGCTAGGATGGCTTGCAGTCCTTCAGAGGAAGCAAAATTCATCAAGCAGCAAAGGTTGCTTCGTGATCAGTGCACCACCGCTCTCGCAGATCACCTGAAGAAAAGCCCTGACGTTGTTTGGACGTCCGAAGATGAACAGGGAAAGCAAGCCGACACGGCAGAAGAAGGGGCTAAGCTCAAACTGGTCTTGGATGTTGAATTCAATGAAGAAACCGGCCAGCCAATCTTCCCTCCGGCAAACAACAGACTGTCAGATGAGCTGGTTTATCTGGTGACCAAGTTCGTGGGCTCCCGCGAACGAGCACGACGGTATCCATATGACTTCGACAGCATAGGCAATATCAACCCTCACCGCGTGTCTTCAGGACCTGCTCCAATTGTCTGGGCTCATGGTCTACCTTTCTTCCCGGTATACAAAGGTTATTACATACTCTGTGGACGCGCAAACGTCGAGTGCATTGGCTGGCTGCTCCGTGAGAAAACTAGAGATATCATGCAAGCGAACCCAATCTGGTCTATCGGCGCGGTCATTGCACCTGACTCTGCCGTGACTCTTCCTCACACCATCACGCGTCAGATGACACTGCACAACCCTCACGGCACTGAGAAAGATGCGAATTACAGGGGTAAGGCCGAGGCTCGCGATGTTGTGGCACATGAGCACCATCTCTGCGCAGTTTTTCCGAATCCGGATACTAATGAGATTGAGATCTGTCCGCTATGGAGAGCCTGGGGTTACAACGCTCGCTGTGGACCTATGAAAAGTGGCGTGAAACCAACTGTCATGCCAAAGGAGTTCTTCGCCAAGCATGGTATCAAAGATATCGACTATGCCTCTCTCGATAGAACATACGCCAACCAGATGCTGGAGGAGGATGAAGAGTCAGATGACAAAACAGACCCAGAGAGTGGTATTGAGGTTGAAAGCGGCGAAGTTGCTGTCAGCAGCAACCAGCCCGTCACGACTCAGTCTGCGTCCAAATTGGACATGGATATGGACATCGACTGCCCAGCGAAAGTTCCAGTGCAGGCTCCAAAACAAGCTCTAGAGCAGGCTGAAACGAGGGGTGCGGGAGAGGTCATGGAAGAGATCCCAAAAAAGGCCACTGAAACCGTCATGGAAAACGTCACCAAAGATCCCATCGAACAGGCCACGGAAATCGCCGCCTCGAACCCCAAGGAGAAGCAACATGTTGTGCCCAGCAGCATTGTGGAAACCGCGCTCGATTTGGGCATGAATATCGGGGATTCAGCCAGAGAGTCCATTGACAGCCCCGACACCGAGCAGATCAGCACTCCTGCTATCCCTTCTGTGGAGACCACGATCCAAGCACCTGCAATTGTCAAACCAACCGAGATCAAGCCGATGATGCAGCTTGAAATCGAGCAGGCAGCGACTGATACATCTGCTGAGAACACTTATACCACTGACCCGCTCAACGTGGCGCAAATCGTATCCGAGCAGCCCAGTACCAAGCAATTGGAGCATGCAGCAGCTTATGGCTTGTCGGAGGAGCTGAAGGTTGCTGAATATCATGCATCCCAGTCGGCGACTGATGAAACTGAGGTCGACAAGAAGACTGTCATCGATAAAAGTCTCGCACCAGAGAAAGTTCCTACGTGATATTGGGGGGAGTTCAAAACCGAAAACCCCAAAAAAATGTGAAAATGGATGAAAAACGAGATTAATTATTCCTTTATGGGATATCAGGAGGTGATATATCCCAGGGGCTGCTTTTATTATGGAAACCCAGGGTTTATGGCATTGGGGGATTGTGCCGTTGATCTTTGTGTTTCCTCTTGCGATGTTCTTGCTTTTTCTTTCTTGCCAGTGACACGCGGTTCACTGCGCTTTGTGCTTACAGTATTCTTAATGCTGGCATATGTGCCACGAAAGGAAGACTACTTGCTTTCTTTAATAATCTTGTCATTCAGGCTGTTACAAGATGCAAGATAATTAGGCATAGAAAGCTGCAATCAGGTCACATGGATGCATATATCCATGACTCGAGAACACTTGAAAGTAATTCAGAAGTCCCGTCCTATTCCTGCTCGTGATAATAGACAGGAACGAGCACCAAAAGGAGCTTTGAGTACTGGTCTAGGTTCTTGAACTGCACCCATATACTTTTGTCTTGAAGATATCAATTCGAAGTAAAGTGTCATAAGAGCAGCCTGAGAGGCGACATGGATTTCAGATTTGAAAAGCCCAAGAAAGACAAACTATAGAGTAAAAGAACCAATATAGCGCCATCTCGCCGGTGACCCTTCTAGATACGTATGCTAGAGCTAACATCTTGGTTTCGTAAAAGATGTGAACATATAAAAAGCTCATACGACATGTAGGAAGGAAAGCCCATTCTTGAAATTTGGCGCCGGAGCTAAAAATGAGGTGAATGGGGTAGATGTGACGATAGGCGGCAGAAAGATACAAAGAGAGAGAGAAAAAGGGCCAAAAACAAGTCAAACGCGAAAGAAATGTTGTATTGGGGATGTGTTGTCCCAGAAAAGAAAATCATATCGTGCGTAATTCATAGCAAATTGAAAATGATCATTGGATATGATCTTCAATTTCAAATGGACATCCATTTGAGATACCAGCGATCCTGCGCCAGCAGAGTCGAGCAGCGTCTTGCATCTAGCTCGTCCGGTGTTCCCAGAACACATGAATAGAAGAAAACGCCATACAACTCAAAAGCAATTCACCTCACATGACAGTACAGCTGCTACCGCTCTGGGCTCGCCTGCGTCTTCCGCCAAGAGCAGAGATAGCGCCTACACCGTAAGCATCGTTGTCGTCTTCGTCTGCATTGTACAGACGCTCAGCTTCGCGGGCACGACGCCGACGTCGGCGAGCACCAGCACCAGCGGCGCCAGCCTCCTCGGTGGCGACCATGTAGTCGGCCCATTTCCGGTCCAGCCGGGATGCAGAAGCGAGATCGCCGCGAAGGACACGTTTTGTGTGTTCATCGGCGGTCATCTGCCAGCCGTAGAAACATTTGAGTTGAATGATTTCATTGGGATAGGTTGGGGCTGGCGAGGGCGAAGGTGAGGAGGCTGGAGTGACGAAAGTACTTGTCGCCGGGGAGGAGTCGGAGTCTGATGTTTGTGTCACCGTCACCACTGTTGAAACGGGCTTGCGGGAGGCACGTGGGATGTATGCATTGCTGGAGAGAACTTCCCTGACCCCTGCCCAAGTGACGTTGGCACAGTCGAATATCATGAGCCGCAGTCCGACTTGGGGAAGATCGTCGCTGTACCCGCGGCGGCGAATGCGGAAGCTGGCTTCCATCAGGGTCAGATCTGAAACTCTGGTGTTGTCCATTTCGACGGATCGGAGTTTCGGACAGCTCTTCATCACTTGAAGCATTCCTGTGTCGCTGAGACTCTCACAGAAGCTGATGTTCAAGTGTTCCAAGTGTTGGGCACATGGGGATTTAGCCAGCTCCACCAGGGTGCTGTTTGTCAAGTTCTCCAAATCCTCCAGTTCCAAATGCGACAGGTTTGGCGTCGTGCGGATGACGTCCATGACGGATTCATCGGTCAGATCGGAGCACTGAGAAATCTGCAGGCCCTCCAAATCCGGAACGTTGTAGGCTAGGCTTTTGAATCCATCGTCGCTCACTTCAGGGCAATGGTGCAAGTCCAAATGACGGAATCTTCGAGGTGGAACGATAGGCCGATCGGTTAAGATATCCATATCGGGGTTCTCGCCATGGATCAGAATCTTCAGGCTGTGATCGGTCAGGTCGGTACGACTCATGATCAAGCGATCCAAAGTATTGCGCTCGAACAAAGCCAGAGTGAACTTCTCATCTTTGAATCCACGGATTTCGCTGGCCCGAAGATCCTTCAACCGTTCACAGGACTGGACAATTCGAAGAAGACCGGTGGTATCAACGTTATTGCACCAAGAAACATTCAATGTCTCAAGTTGCGGACAAGACCGTGCAATGACCTTCATGGCCGAGTTTGTGACACTCGACAGACCCGAGAGGTTGATGTATTCCAAGCGGGGATTACGAAGGAGGAAAGAGTAGATGGATGCCCTGTCTATGCGACAACCCTCGAGCGAAAAGTTGACGACATTCCGACACAGATCCGAGATGCGTTCTCCGTCCGTAGACCATTTCTCACGCATCTGAATGCAGCCTCTGAGATTGAGGTCCCGGACAAACGGACCACCGGAAGTGATAAGCTTGACCAAAATATCGCTCGAAATCTTAGAGTAGTACTCGGTCGCATCAACCTTGGACCATAGTTGTCCATCGTAGCACATCTCATTCCATGCTTTGGATACAGCAGAGCAGCGAACAATTTCCTGCGGGGTGAGGTGCTGGAAGATCTCCATCTTAATCTCTCGTGGCATATCGCCCCAAAAATCAAGAGATCTGGTCGGCTGGGTTTCTGGAACGACCTCCTCCACCTTTACTCCCACCGGTGTCGCGGTGCGTGGCGACCCATTTGATGCTGGCCTCACATCAAAGGGCAAAGGCACGGTGCGAGGTGTAGTGAAACCAGGGCCATCAGTCTCCATCAAACGGATGCGAGCGTTTGTACCGTGGGGCTCGCCGGGAGAACTAGAACAACCGGGAGTAGCAGGCCGGGGATTTAGACCGCCATAGAGCTGGGAGGAACTTCCATTGCCTAGACAAGGCGAGTATGAAGTCGTCGATAACGAAACACAAGAGAGAGAAGCCTTATTGTCTCGGCGGTAGCTCGTTGTTGATGAGGAACGGCCGCGTCTGGTCAGCGTCGGGCTGGAGGACATTCGTTGGAGACTCTGAAGTAGCTTCTGACGACCTTTGAGTTTCGGCGGTTGCTCTAATGGGATCTGGCCTGCCGAATTGGTCGGGCTGTTCGGAGAGATACTCCCCGGAGAGGGCAGGATCTCATCGGATAGTTGGGATGCCATCCTGGTGACTTGGTTCAGTCTGTAGCACGGGTTCTCTGGGCCACTCCTATCTTTTCACGTCTTCCGGAGGGTGTTCCGGGGTGGTGTTCGGTATGTTACGGAGTATCGCAGGCTTCAACGGAGGATAACGACGGAGGAAAGTGAAAACGGATAAAGCGACGGGCGCGCAGTCACCGAAAGGTCTTAGACAAGCATAGTGCTATACCTCGATCGGTCTTTTTGGATATCAGCTCGAGGAAGAGAAAAGGAAGTGATCGAAATGGGAGTGGGGAAAAATCACGTTGTCTGTATTGTTTCGGGGCCCACGGCCAAAGAACCGTGGAACAGGGCTCTTTACGGCACTATGCCGAGTGACGTACAAACGAACCGAGAGAGCCGAATAGAGGTAAAAGTTGAAGGGAGGGAGAGATATGCAAAAGGAAAGCAGAAATAGGGGAATGTAGGGGAATGCGATACATCTACTAAACCTGGTCCGAACATCACATAGTAGGTTGTACTACCCCCCTCTACGTTATCTGCTTATCGCTCCCCACCTATTACCTCGCCCTATACTAGGTATGCTAGGATATACAAGTTTAAATGTTTTCTATTTGATAAATCTAAGTAAATCAGAATAAATGTAAAACTCGAGACTGTATCTGATACGGTGTCCTGGCACAGACCGTCTGATGTGAGACCAAAGCCCTCGGCTGACGACGCCTTAAACGCGACTGATTCAACGCCTCTCAACCCACTCCGATCCAGGGACACCTCCGAGACGAGTTTCCGAGGTTCCTGAGAAAGCCGTTTGATCCCATTTTTGCCTCTTTTGGACTTCGCTGGTGGGGCATTTGTGGGGGAAAAAAGTAAACCGTGGTATAATGACAAAATAACCATGGATTGAAATATCTTAACCATGGATGTCTTCTCAAATTTTGAACTTTTGAATTTTGAATTTGTAGATTTTTTTTTTTGGTGTTCCAAGGCATCAAAGAGTATCAGTATGATACTTCAGTAACAAATTGGAGTCCAACACTTCATATGAAGTGGGGAGATTCGCCCCATGATAACCCGGACAAAGCCACAGCTAGACTGGGTTTTGCCAAGGACTACAAAGGCCCATGCTAAATATTCCCCCGCAGTTCAAAGTCGTACGTTGTATATAGGGTCTCTAGGTCACATATGCAAAGGTATCGCAAAATCAAATGCCAGGGGATAAAATAAACCCCAGAAAAAAAAAAGAAATGCATTGATGTTCATAATCATCATCAAGGCCCTAAGGGAAGTTAGAAGAACACACCCCGAAATGATACCCAGTTTCCCCGGAAAATTCTGCATCCATCATCAAAACGTAACTTTGTGGGGTATCGCGTTATTTTTGTTTTTTCAATAAGTAAAAGGCGAAGGGAGATGGTATGAGAGAGGATTCAAGCCCCCACCATCCAGGGGTGCTCAAGGACTTCAGTAATGGTAAGTCGGTTGTCAACGTCGCGATCGAGCATCGTGCGGATAAGGTCAATGCAATCTTCCGAGAAAGGAAGGAAGGGAATTCGGAGGGGGTGGTCAAGGATCTCATCGACGTTGTAGAATGGGTTCTCTTTGTAGACGATCGTATAAAGGAGAATGCCCAGAGCCCAGATGTCCTGTTCCTTGCCTCGATACGACCGGCCCTGTAAGACCTCGGGCGCGGCATAATCTAATACAGTCAGCATCGTACCCCCTCGCTCAGA